CAAGACATGCAAAGTCAAATCCAAAACCTCGAAGCAACCCAAAAAAGGTCAAAAATCCCAGAGGGCTGAACTTGCCAGCCTTAGGTTCAGAACGAATCAGGCTGCGATGTTCTCTTTGGACTCGCAGGCTGCCTGTACTGTAAGGGCTCACAAGCTAATCCCCAAGATCCTTTTCCTAATCGAGTGTGCTTCAGGTTGGGGGCTGCAGAGCTTTAAGTTTTCAAGTTTCGATGGTTTCAGGGAGAAACTTTCAGGCGTTGGCTTCCAAGATCTTCAAAAGTGATCTGTATGAGGGCGCCACAGATCTTCGCTCTAAGATGGTAATCCATGCTTGCAGCAATGCCTTGATGCTCAAAGCAGTACTGCAACAGGTGCTGTAGACTTTAACTTTGACCTCCAAAGTATGACCACCCACCTTTCGGAAGATTCTTGCTCGTGTTGACGTGCCTCTTCTCTGCTGGTGGGGCTCGGCAGGTTGGGGTGATGGTAGTGCTGCTGCTGCTGCTGGCTTCGGTGATGGTCAAGGTGGAGGTGGAGGAGGTAGCAGCAGCAGTAGCAGTATCAGAAGCAGTACTGCTACTACAACCTAACCACTACTATTTTTAAACTGCCATACTACCGATACTTCAGTAAGGCTAGACTTGCAGACCCCAAACTTACTAACTATTCTTAAGCGAGGTAATGCAGTTTGGGCTACCTACTTACACTTTGCCTTTTGTGGGCTATAAACAATCCCATTCAGAAACCTGATTTCATACAACCCCGGGCTGGCTCATAATTCACTTCCGCAACATGAATTTTGTGCATTCAGCAGGACTTGGCACTTACGACCAGGTTGTTGGCAAAATCAATGCCACCCTAGTTTGCAAACACACACAGGCCAAGGCTCCAACCCAAATGTGCAGTTGAAGACTGAAGCCATGTGAGCCAGCCTCTGATTGTACGTTCTGGAAATTCGTATACAAAGGTCACAAGGTGCAACCTCATGTCCCAGCAGTTAAGCTGAGAGGCTATCTTCTATACTATCCCTGCTAACCCCCTGCCCCAACACAACCCTATAATTCCTATAATGATAATGGTCGTGGTAACAAGAAGAAGAAGTAGTAGTAGTAGTAGTAGAAGTAGTAGTAGTAGTAGTAGCAGCCTACGCGCCTTTAATCGATCGTGGGTCCAAATGCGTATTGAGGGGGTTGGAGGGGGGTGGGGGATTGGGGGGGGTAGGGGTGGGAGGGTAACTACGTTCGATCTTGATTTTACTGGCCACGTCTCATCATGCTAGAGGAGGAGCCCTGCTTAGAGACATGGCCGCCTGGCGACAGCAATGCGCTCAACGCGCTCTTGAGGCAGTGCAAGTTTCTGTGGAGACTGAGAACGCTTTGCCGGCCAATCGCCCTAACTTTAAAGAATTCAAGTGGGGAAGCTGTCCAGAATGTGGCCGCGCGTGCACACCGCACTGCTACGACAGCGGCAAGATCCTCGGCTTTCCATGGTTCCTATTTTTGTCTGTCCGAAAAAGTTAAGGTCACTTTAATAGTAAAGTCCCGCTTGCAGACTGCAACGAGTTCCCTGTACGGCCCTTAGAACCTAATTTTTCAGCATAGACTTTTGGCAGAGCAATGTCGGCGAAGTGTTCTTGGTATGCAACGGGTGGCGCAGAATGAACCAGACAGGGCAGCGCTTTTGTTAGGGCAGGAAACTCTTCGACATGTCCCTCTGTCAAACCTTGCCTGTGGTCATCAAGGAGAAGTACCACAGCCACTTAGGTTGTCACTCCAGCGAAACAGACGCAGATGATGGCAAAAAAGTCCGGCGTTCTTTTGCTGAGATGCGGTTCTCATCAGGGACAGCGGCGCGTAAAAACGGCCAAAATTAGCTAGTTTTTGCGCCTTTCCATGAACCCCTTAACGCTTCACACGAGCAATCCGGACATTATAGAAGCGCACGAAGTCCGTTAATCTACAGCACTTCCAAACCCTTTGACAAATTCTACTCCAACTTTCAAGGCCACAAAAGACCGATCGGTTATCATCCTGATAAGTCAACCCACAAGTAGTTTCCCGGATTTTTTGACCCTCAACTTTGCGCAACATCAACAAGTCAATGCCCACGAAGTACTGTAAAACGCAATATTGTTGCATTTTTTCGCAAAACCCTGCAAGCCAAAAAACACTGCGATCAATTAGCATCGCGACGCCTAGTAGTAGTAGTAGTAGTAGTAGTAGTAGTAAAGGTAAAGGTAAAGGTAACTACAGTCTACAGTACAAACAGTACTAAAACTGTGGAAGAGGGGGCCAGCAGACTGCAAGAGGCGCCGGAGCCGGAGATAGCTCGCCTGCGCTGCATCCCGAGCGGGCCCCAGAGAGCAGACTCCCTGAACCCTGACTTGTTCTGTAGTCTAAGCGCCTTAAAGGGGGGTTATATAGGGGATTTTATAGGCGAGTTAATATAAGTTATAAACGGAGAAGCGCCTTAAGGGGGTTTTTATGGGGGATTGTATAAGGGGTTTACGGAGGTAGATACTAGGAGTTTAGACTGCCTCGCTTGAGTTTTGGAGCTATGTTGCTGAAAATAGTTCTGGAATGTGGGGATTTGGGGTGAGGTCCGGTAAGGTTGTGGTGGCCGAAGACGTAGGGCTCAGAGAGTTGAAGCTGGCCGCAGGCAGCACATTGCTGAGCTGTTACGGTAGTACATGCAGAAATTAAGAATCAGAAATACGCTTGCATGCTCGCTGTTTAATGCACGCACGATACACGTGATATGTTTTTTTGGTCAGTGGTTCACCACACATCGCCTGCAGCAAGTTGGAAAAGAAAAATGTGTGAATGTAGTTGCGTGCAGCTCCGCTACTGCACGAGACCCTTTCATGTGGAGGGTTGGTTCTAAAGGAGGTTACAAGGTTCCCGAGCCGTCTCAGGTGACCTTGCACCGAGCGCATCCCGGCGAGAGCTCTACAGCCTCTTTAGGCAGGGACCGGTTCTTGCAGGGTGCAGTGTGTAGGCATTGCTGTAGAGTGTCCTGCTTAAACGATTACGAAACACATTTTTGCAGCAGATGCGCCTTGCCGGCCTTTCAAAGACACAGCCCACATACCCGCGGAAGTTGCCTTGCTTTTGGGGGCATATCGGAGGGCTTCTGCCGATGTAGAATTACATGAACCCGAGGTAAGGGCGGATGTTTAAGCGGGGGAATTCTGTTTTCTCGGGAAAGGTCTTGACTCCTCGGGCTACGCTTAGAAGTGCCCGCTCCCTCAAAAGCTGCAGCCCGTGCAGGTGTTCTTGCGTGGACGAAACTGTAACGGTTAGATTCGATTAGATGCACGCACCCAAAAATGGGCAAGCCTCTCGACAATAAACTCTGTCAGTTCTGCATCTGTTGTAGAAAGCATGGCCTCGCTGTATGTATGATGCAGAACGAAGACCCATCCAGAAGCCTACATTCCATGCTCAACCCTCATACCTCTCAGCAGCTCTTCTTTGAGGTCCTCTGCAGCACGATCCAACGTTCCCCCTGGTTGTGAGCTTTGGAGTTTCAACCTCAGTCCAGCACTGGATATTTTGGGGAGTTTGTGAGTTTCTTGGCTTCGCCTCTTGAAAAGAGCAGTGCTGTGCAGAGAACCTTAAATTATCATGATCCTAGGCTGGAACAGCTGATGCCTGCAAGCCATCACTGCTAATGCATCCCCATGAGGCAGAGAAGTCTGGATCGACATTTTGGACGGAGGCGTTGATTGGTTGCTACTGTAGGAGCCATAGGAGCCCGGACTTCTTGACATGCCCATTTCATGACAATCCTCGTGTGCAGGAACCAGAGTTGTGACAGCTATATTCTTTCCCCTTTCCCCCATGTCCTTGGGCGTGCCTGGCACATCTACTACCACCATCAACGCTCATTCCTGCCAAACTGATTGTCTGACAAACTTGACGCCACCCTTGGACTGACAAAAGAGTCAACTCATGAAATTGATATTGAAGCCATATGGGGCAACATTTGTGTGACGTCTGAGTGAGGGATGATGGACAACATACAGCATGTGTATCCACGACAGCCAAGTACCATAGAGCTCCAGCCCTTCAGCCTGAACCTGAAGCATGCTTTGCTGATTGCCCCCCCCTAACGCAGCATGCATGGTTATGCCTGTTTCGACTTGAATCCTCCTCAGCCCAGGGTCCCCCGCACCCTGCAAGAATGATCCTCAGTATGAAAGCCAGACATCCTCTGGATCTTGTGTAGGGAGTTGATGCCAACTGTAGTTGTATGCGCGGCGCACGGCTCAAGTGCTGGGGAAGCTTGCTGAGATCTTTGAGACCGCTCCGACAAACAGGCTGGATGTCTCGTTCTCGGATACCAGGAGTACACTGGTTTTGTTGGCGCAGAGTCCAGTGTTTGCAGGTTTAGTGGTTGTACTTGTACTTATAGGCTACAAGGCTTGGATTTGGGCTCCGGGTTTGAAAGAGTGGTTTAGTTGTTGTGTCAGTCGTGGGAGGCGCAGGGTTGAGGGTGTTGGAGCATTCGCGTGCTTGTTAGCATGCCCAACCAAGCCATGAGCTTCAGCAAGCATGGGTCCTGAAAAGGTTGCAAATGTGCAGGTCTTTGGCCAAGTACCGTCTATCCTATCTCAACTCGGCGCGAGCTTTGCTTGAGACACCTTCAAACTTCATTTTCTGCCTTGTGGTAGACAAATGTGGGGAGTTGGGCTAGGGGGCCCTCGTGGTACCGGGCTGGTTAAACATGCCTCGCAGCATGCCTTTCTCAGATTTGAATCGTTTTCAAATTGGAAAATTGGAAGTTGCACTGGAAGAACCTGCAAGACACCTCACATGCTATCACCTCCATAAGCCTCCTTCCAATCTGGTGCCGAGCAACTCCTGGTGCTTCGCAAGCGAGTCTGAGGGTGCGGGTATCTTGCAAGGCTCCCAGAAGGGTTCCACAGGTTTCCTCCACCAGCAAATCGAACCCCAACCGCTTCCAGAGCATGGCAGAAAACAGGCTGAAGAAGAAAGATGGCCCGCTCCTTCGTGTTGACCGGTGCAGTCCTCCTTTGCTCGGGCGCGCTCTTCACCGCGTTCCTTTGAACTTGCTGGAAGAAGTGCGCGTGAGGTTTAAGGTTCAGTGGCATTGGGCGAGGTGTGTATGAGGGGATATGAGGGTAACTTGAATTTGAGGGCCAGGCTCGGAGCTACTCAATCAAAGTCCACCGTAGCCGACCTTGAAGGTTCTGTCCAGGGTTCGCCCCTGCGAGCCTCAAGCACCTTCACCGCTCAAGTTTCGCAAGCAAATAAAAGGGATTCAATTCCACGAGGCTTCGAGATGAAAAGCCAGGAGCTAAACTGGCACCCCCAAAAAGCCACAACTTTATCTTGCGCAAGCTGAGGCCGTCGACGCTAAAATGCAAACCTGCCCAAAGCCTGGAAAGCCTGGAACCCCGAAACCCATTACATGAAGCCTGTATACGGTGCAGTAGACCTTCCTGAATCTTCACAAGCCCTAAATGCCCAGAAGCCGTGGGCTCCCTATACAACAGCAAATCCCAAACCATCCTAAAACCCAAGCCCTACTAGTACCAACGGTTGTAAGTCCCCAAACTCCGCCCTTGAGCATAGCATATCCTGATGCTTCTAGTCTAATGCTCAAACTGGGTTGCTGTTAACAAACTTAATTTAAGTTATTATATTGGGGAAACCATGCAAATCTCTATATATATATATACACCCAGGTGACGTAATTTAATTCCTTAACGGCAACCCAGCAAACTCAGGTTCGTCCCGGCCGCCCGCAGCTCGGTGGCGCCGGCCCCGACGTACTCGGCCGCAGCTCTCAGCTCCGCCGTCCTCGTGGCCCCACAGGCCAAGGGCCGGTTTCGGATACGGAGTTCAGCTTGGGGGTGTAGGGCTTAGGGTTTCGGATTTTGTATAGGGTTCAGCGTTTGGGATTTAGGGTCTAGGAGGGCCGAGGGCTGAGGGTTTTGGATTTAGGGCTCAGGGGTGCCAGAGAGAGTGCGCAGCGCTCGTCAATGAAAGAACATTATGAACTTCAAGGTGTTTTCGGGGCCTGAAAGAAAACAACACGCGCATACGTGAGAAACGTGATTAATTGAACTGCGTGGAAAGCAAAATTGCCTTAGACTTCAATCGTTTCATGTCAATAAAGGCAATATATAGGAGCGTTCTAAGGTCCCAATTAAGTCACTGAGCCCCTGCCTTTGTAAAACTGTTGAAACATACATGCTCTTGCCTGGGGTGCCTCGAGGACTCCCCGGATGACCAAGAGTAATATATCAATACCCGCGTACTTTGCATTTTTAACCGCGAAGCTTGCATGCAAAAGCCCTTAGCCACAACTCCCTCAACCAGGGCAGGGGTTCCTTACCCAAATTCTCTTGATAGGCAGCCTTCGCGGATGAGGGCGCCGTGTGGATCCCTGCCCTGTCGGCCATTGGTGCAGGCTGGGAGGGTAATGAGTCGAGATTTCTAAGGAGGGTTCTCATCAACATGGTGCCGTTAAGGATCGATTATGGGGGGGGATCCTAGGGATTATAGCGGGTTTTCTATAGAAATGCAATTTTGGGGCCAGAGTTTGGACGGGATGCATCCAGGGACCTGAGGTAACTTGGGTGAGCGACTTTACCATGAAGGCGAACACATATTCCGTCATACACACACCTTACGCCAAGTGCTCAGGTTCTCCACATTGGAGCTTTTGGAGTGGCATGGATGTTCTTTGCCAAGGGTCTTGCAATCGCCAATACCTGAACCGCTAAAGTATGTAGACTAGTAGTCTCTTGGGCTGATTCTAGGGCTTTTGGGCTATTATTTTACCAACATCTGGGGGTTTAGCTAAGGGCATGCCTGTCTCCCGAATCACCCGGCTGAACCCCCTCAGAGGCTTTGCCATCGGGCTCGCCGCTATTGGCTCCGGCGTCGGCCAGGGCATCTAGGTTCCGAGAGTACCGCTATCCTTTTTTGGGAGGTTCTAAGTCTACGCAGAGGGTTATCGTGCACGGCGACAGACTCAAATGAGGGCCCTTTCTTGGGGCAATCGATTTTGGACTTAGGCATCGCCTCCGGCCGATGCATCGATGGCATCTCCCGCCAGCCTGAGGCAAAACTACACAGCTGATATCATGTGTACTTGTGGGGTGTGTATAGTTGTTTGAAGTGAGTGTATCTATAGAAAGGTCCGTAAAGAGCTTGATGAATGTATCCATGTGCACCGTCAGACAGCACGTGCACACAATTTCCGCCTTACAACTGATTTCTATTTGCAACACATGAATTATAGAGGTCACCAAGTAAGACGCCCAGAGTCTTGAGAAACTCACATCTTAGTATCAATCAAAAAATCATTTCGCTGCCCCTGCTTTTTTTGCAGATCCGTAGTTGAATCTTTGGAGAGATCTATGGGAGGATTACGATTCTGATTTGGGCTTGTGCAGGCTATGTATCACCACATTTGTAAGCTGCACAGGATGTTCAAGTATCAGGATTGTGTGTCGCCATCCTCCCACTTCTAGTTCTCGCGCAGCACGTTGTCAGTCGCATTTTGGTACACCTGCAGAACGTTCTGGAAGGTCTTTCACATGAACGGCGTAGGAGCTTCAAAAAACGACAGGGTATCTAGAGTCCACCCTGCATGCATGGTACTTCTGACATCGCACAAACTGGCCGCAAAATGGATGTGTGGGTTAACAGGCATCGTCATATTTAATATCACAAAGGAAATTCGTTAAGAAATTGGACGGTATGCGAAGCGCTCCCAATTTCGTTGAGCCTCCTGTCAGCGTAAAGACTCCCTCAAACTAAGCGTAGGCCGGATGTCGGATCTGCCTAATTTGTCAGTTCACGATATGTTTGTTTCGTCTTATCTGGTCATGTAAATATATATATACACATTATATTATTCGCTTCATTGCTTTCGCCATATTCCAAGACCTATTAAGAGCCGGGCACGCCCATACAATTCCCCGAAAGTCCGAAACCCATGTTCCCAAGCATACGTTGAGTCCAATAGTAAAGGTTTTGAGGCCCTACGGTGAAGGAAATTAAATTAAGGTACCGTACTGGGTATAGATATACATATAGTAGCTAATATTGTTTTCCCAATCTAGTAACTTGTGTTAAGTTCTTTAACAGCAACCCAGAACTTTACTAGGTGCCGTAGGGCTTGGCTTGCTCCTTGAGATGCAGGTGGCAGATGATCTGCGAGGCGTGCTTTTGCTGTCCCTGGCCTTCATGGAGCCCCTCGGATGGTAAGGCTGAGGGTTTGGCTAGCGTGAAGTAGGATTCAGTTCAGGGATGAGGGCTGACACTGAGGTATAGAGCTCGCAGAAGTATTGGCAACACTCCTGCGGGAACTGTTTGCCGAGCGTTTGCTTATTTGCAAAGACCGCGCCCAGTGTTTCCTGTAATGGAGGGCGACCAGGGATATCTGCTATCCAGGGATCAAGCGCACAAGAAAGTTCTTGAAGCCTTGCAAAGGTCAGAAAAGGCGTAGGGTCGGGGTGAGGCCGCCCTTTGCACTCCGCAGGCTCACTTGATCCGATGCTGATCGCGCACGTATTTCCCTAGGCAACTCACTTGCTGGCCCAAGCTGTCTGTTGGCTCTCGATGGAGCTTGGGAACCCACAGCTCTCCACGCTATGTGCCGGAAAGTCCTTAGGCAGCCTTAGGCAACTTTAGGCTGCAGTGGGTGTGAGCAGGGGAGCCTTGACTGTTGTGATAGGGCCGCCCTAGGCGTGTATGCCCAGGGCTTGGGCCCCTTCAGTCACTCTGTCGCACTTCGCGCCGTGAGGAATCCCTACAAGCCAAGTTAGGCTGCATTCTCACTCAAGTAGAGCAGTCCTCTGACGCAACCTCCGCGGTCAGAAGTGACATTATGCCTATGAGGTGTAAGTTTTCACGGAGCACTATAATTACTCATTTTTCTTTGAAGCCGTTAACGGCCTAAATCCTGAGCATTGTCAGCATGCCTGTATATTCATCCCTTCCAAGTGATGGCGAGTTCAGGTCCCTGACGATCTACGGCTTGGTGATCGCCTTGGTCCTCCTCTTCGCCAACCCTCTCATCAAGTGAGGGAATCTCTCCAGTGAGCAGTGAGCAGCTCATGTTGTAGATGATGCAGCGGGAGCATGTTGAGAAGATTCGTGTTTGCTTTAAGGTGTTAGCTGTTAACTATAGTGAAAGCTAAGACATGCACCCAACGGCTATAGTGCCACTGGCACACAAAGGCTTGGATACCCCTGGCGCCGAATGTGAACAGGCCTTGAGTACTTAAGCCAGCGCGCTTGCAACGACTTATCTGCTGCCAGGGGTTAGCCATATGGGACTTTCTGGTGACTCAAAGCTCCACAGAGAACCAGATAATCATGCCACACAGGAGACTGTTTCTGAGACTCTGTTTTCTCAGAAGTCCCATATCTTTCTCGCAAACGGTTTTCCTGTTCAAGGAAGAGCTGAGCTTGTGCTGGAAAAGGCAGCAATCCCGGTGCCACCGTGCAAGCAGGACTCCATGCAGTAGCGTGAGATGAGTGCAGGGGCTCAAACCCTGAAGCCAAAACGTTGCATGCAAAGGCCTAGCCCCTTATGCTGCCCCCTTGCTACCACCGCGCGCCTTACTCTGCTTTGTGCATACTTGGTGCGGAAGGATATCGTTTGGATACCTTGAGCTTAGCTCGTGTTTGCCGCCCCTTTTAGCTTTCTGGGGAGGGCCGCGTCATGCTTTCAAAGGCTACAAATAAGCGGCTCGTGTCCGCCGGCATGCAAAATACACGACAATTTAGCCCAGCCTGTACACGGAAGAACAAGCACCACGCTATGGCGTGGAATAATTTTCTTGTGCAGTCCTGTGCCCGCCTGCTAACGTCAATCGCAACAGGCTTGGCTTGTCGAGTCCAAGCTTTTCCCGTGATGCTTCTATACGTGTCTGCCCCTATTGTCTTGTCGTGTCATGGAATTTCTGCCAAGTAGATGTTGCATGCGGCCGGTTCCAAAGCACGTACGGCATGGTGCAAAATGACGAGTGACGTCTGGGTCCGGAACCGAGGCCTCAAGCGCAGCTTGACTTAAGCCCGCCATCTCAGCAACCTTTCCCGCAACTGCAGAATGGCATCCGCTGTGCTGGCCGTGCTCCTCGTCGCCGCCTCCATGGCTTCTCTGATGCAGGAGGCGTCCGCCGAAGGCCTCCGCGGTGACGCGCAGAACAGGACGGCCGTGAAGGGAGTCTCCTTTCTCTCCACGTCCGCCACAGCCACGGCTCCTGGCTGCAGCAAGGCAGATGAGGCCATCATGACGAAGCTGGGTGGGGGTAACGCGGATGGAACCTTTCCCAAGTACCTTGCCACGTGCGGCCATCGGAACTACAACATCTTCTTCGGCTTCAACAGTGCCAACTTCGCATCTTGTGTGGAGGGGGACACGGGCATCAGCATGACATGTGCCCGGTGCTTCATCCAGTCTGCCAAGTATGGAGCAGACAACTGCAAGTGGAGCTGCCTCTTCGGTGCCTGGGCTGCGTTTGCTCTTCCAAAATCATGAGCAGGCCAACAGCACACTTCCCCCCTTTGTCTCTTGGGAAGCTTCCTAAGCCAGCCTTGTGTGCTTTGAACTGAGAAAGCTCTGGCATGGGTATTTCCGAACCTGAGGGTTTCTGTGGCCTGAAGCCGAGATCTTGAGCCTTGAGCCAGCCCATTGCATGTTACAGTAAGCCCAAAAGCTCATGGAGACACGAAAGATAAGAGGATCCACACACAAGCAGGTGTGTACTTGTCGCGATGCCTACCAGATTTCCGCTTCAAGCTATCAACAAAACCTGCAGGATCAAGAAGTGCCTGGACCCTGAATGTCCTTCCTGCCGTTCTGGCGTTAAAGTCCTACGATTCCTAGACGGAAGTACTTGCAGGGCTGCTACAGGGTACTTCTTGAACTGCTACCTAAGCTTGATACCATGCATATTACTGTCATTTTGGGCGTGGGCTCCCTCAGTTTTTCCAGGATTCTCCTTCGTATTGTTGTGATTGCTAGTGGTTGCTTCTCTTGTCTCCTACGCTGCTATAGATGCTGGTCTGTCTTGGTTGTAATAGGATGCTGATGAAAACTTCCAACCTCCACACCCTCAGCTTTGTAGAAACGTGTCCTTGTCGCATGATCATGGGTTGTTAAGTTTTTGAGGGCTGGCACTCCAAGGCTCCTGGTGCGGCTCCGCTTGTTTGAGCTGCGTGGCCTCCGCGAACAAGGCCACAGCAGATTGCGCAGGAGCCATTTGAGGGGCGAAGCCATGCTTGGACGGCGTGTAATAAAACAAACAACCGATGTGCTTCATGAGGTGGAGTGAGCATGAGGGGGGTTGCAAAGCGGACATCTCCGCACATGCAGCAGAGCATTTTCGAAACAAAAAGGGAAGAGAGTTTGCAGGGCAGCCCATGGGCTTAGGTGGCCAGTGAGCAAAGGGTGCCAGGGTTAGACGGCAAGCTTGGGAGTACTTTTGCCTGCCATTTCCCAGGAGTGGCCGTGCCTGCTGCAACAGCTTGCCGATGAGTCTACAGTGTGCTAGACGCGAAATGTTTCGCGTCGAAGCACTTGATTTGCCCCTAGCATCTCACTTTTGACCAGGCCTGAAAGTTGGGCGCAGGGCTTAGTGCCCTGAATTGAGTGCACATGTACAGACTGCACCTGCAGTCAGCGTGGCAAGTGCCCACGCCAAAGCACAGGCGAGATTTGCGTGAACGTACAGCTCTCGCTCGCCCGAAATATATCTTGCGATTCAAAAGCAGAGGCTAAAACTGGTGCAAAGCATAATGGAAAAGAAAATGGAAACTACTATAATATCTAGGGGTTATATAGGTTATATTGGGGTTATATTCAAAAGCAGAGTCTTCCGGACACTTGGTAGCCGGATTGTCATGTGTCGATCACCCCTGGCTTGTCTATACAACTTGGACTTCAGGAGATCATGTGACGAGACTCCACGTCACCAAACTCCAAACGCCAAAGCCCAGAGTGCCTTCTTCAAGTACCAAGCTTCCGCTGCAAATCCCAAAGCCTTAAACATGGTATATTTGTGGACCTTGCCTAGACTGATCCGGCACCAGGCTATCAGGGGACAGGGGCTTACGCCTTAAGAGCCCACCCTAAACCAAAAGTAGTAGTTTCCATGTTCTTTTCCATTATCCCAATCTAACCCCAATATTATAACCGCTATATATACCCCAAGATAACCTCTAAAAGAGACACTTCGGAGGCCCCGGTCAGCTGCGCCATGGGACAAACCACCGCTGTGGCGCGGGCCCCAGCTCTGAAGCTTCTGGTCCTTGGGCATCCTTTAGTCGGGTTCAGGGTTTAGGGTT